CGAAGATAAACACGCATACGTATGATGTACGATCTCAGCATCTCATCGATACTCGTAAAAGCTGACGTAAAAATATACATTAAACTTTGTCCGTAAATTTCTACAAACGTTTCCGCACGCTCGCTCGTCTCCAACAATAATTTGATCCGAGATATTCGCCAATCAATTATATCCACTCTCGGTCGTTGTATTTCTGAATAAATGGGATGCCATATCAAAGAAAACATTGTGCGCTGAAAGGTACAGGTCCTGGCCTACTTAGGCCGAGTCACGTTCGCGATCAAGAATTGAATTTTATCCACTCTCTAAATGTTGTACACACCGTGGTAGCCGCGTCTGAAATGCATAATTATCCCAAACAGATCCACCACTGCGTGGTCTCCGCGTGTCGCGACGACAGGACAAAGATGTTAGACGAGATCTTATCCGGAATTCTTAATCGCAAGGCGAATCCGAAGGTACCGTAAAAGGCGAAGTTTGACACACTTTGCGACTTTGACCTCGTGAGATCTCGAATCTTGGATATATCGTGATGCTTCGAATATCAATTTCAATCGGGGATGATAGGAAAAGCGGGACTTTCTCCGAATAACGATTATTCCAATCTTTTTCTCGGCAAAAAAAAAAAGAACATTTCGATAATTTACACGTTTGTATATCAAATTTCTCTTGTGGAAAATTGCTCGATAGTTGTCGGAGTTTCTTTCGATATATTGCGATATATTGGTAGTTATAAAATAGAAAAATAATTTTTCCACACCTCCAATTTCTTAACTCCATGTGCGTTTAATTTATAATCATACGTTCAGTTTTTGAAATGGTATATACGATACGATTCGTCATAAGCAGTTGACATAGATAAATGATCTGACTCCGAAATGAAGTGAAATTCGATCGATTGAGATTCTCTTGATCGTGTTAATTTTTTCTATCTTCGATGTCAATTTTTCTTTTGTTCCAATTTCACGGATGAATTTATCAATACGTCATATTAGATATTAGATACCAAACGGATATTATCTTCAATTAATTCAATATCTTTATTTAATTCCACAATATTTAACTACGTGATTCACGCCGATCGACGATTATTTCGAAGATAATGAATGGAAATTTCGAATCAATTTAATCACAACAAAATCCAATAATTCTTCTGAAAGTTGTTTTGTGTAATTCATTTAAAATTATTACCATCGCATTAATCAGCAAATGGATATAAAAGAATCTTCGTTTCCTTTTGCCAAACGGCTTGCAAGAGAAATCTTCTATTTACCAGATATGTTTAAACAAAGGAAACCAGTTACTTAAATATTCTCCTTTATAAACTTGGTTATATTTAGCCGGCTCTGTCCCATAATTTTAACCCGTATAATTTGAATTCTACTACTAATTTAACTACGAGATCAATCACCTTCTTGCAACCTCAACTCCCCTGTCACGGGATGAACTTTCGAAACGTCGCACCCTCGTCGAAACTTTTGCGTTTATAAATAACTCCTTTGTACTTTTTCTACCGTGAATGGATCGTATCTCAAAATTCTCCATCAATACATACATATAAAATCGTACTCTATCACTATCGTTCCCCATAGATTCTCCTTAAAGAATTAAAAAGAGAACCGTTTCTTCCGATATTTGACCATTTCTCTCGGATTCATCATCGCCATTCCCTCTTCTCAGATCGGTCCAATTGCTGAATTAGCGGAGTGGAGGCTGAACGCATCGCGACGCGTTTCCTGAATGGACGGATAGAAGCAAGAGAGCGACGACGATCCCGATGAGTAGGACAGTGTGTCGCTGTCGTGCGCGTTGGGCCTCGTTCTTCTCCACGTGACCTGGTCACTGGCCCACTTCGATTTCTCCTGGTTCGGTCTCTCCTCCTCCTCCGCGCCTGTCTCTTTCCTTCTCCCCGATGACGCCCGATGCTCGGCCGCTTCTTGCCTTCGAACACGGGCCTTCCCCACCACTTCGATCGTTCGCGATCGGCCGGTCTTCCTGGCTAGTTGCCTCCACCATAATCGACCTCCACCACTTCGTTCGTTCCTCGACCACCACCACCACCACCACCACACGATCTCTGTTCGAAGGCGCCGCTTATGACTTAGCCATGCGATTCCAGCACATGCCGTGGCACGAGGTACGACAGGCAGACAGCCACCATCCACTTGACTAACCGGATGGGCGAACGGTGCGCGGAAGAGATCGGCATTAGGATCGCGTGAAAAGTTCAATCGAACAGGTTTGCCGGTCGTAAGAGACTCCGTCATAGTGTCATAGACTACTTGTCCACTGTCCACCCGATTCCAACGCCTGCCCAACTCCACAGATCAGAATATATCGGATGCCAATCGGATGCAACGTTTCGAATATAGATCGAAAGTTAATCGAAGGTGTAATCGTGGATTTGATTCGCCTAGTTAGAGATCAGTGCACGTCTTCCTCTCTCGTCTTGTCGATCTTGCGGAAAATTCGGCTTCTCTCTCACTGTCTCTCTCTCTCTTTCTCTTTCTCGCTCTCTCTGTCTGTCTCTGAAGCAGGCGTTCGGATCGTTCCCGGTATATGATTCGTTTCGAAGGGGAGGAAACGAGGGGATCAAGGAAAGGGAGGAAGTGGAGGAAGTTGTGTGACCAAGTGCGACGCGCGGAAAAATCGGCGGTGAGAACGTGTGAACTTGGCGAGAGACGTTCGTGACGTGACGTGAGAAAGGGTCGTGTTTTCTTCTTCTGGAGAACGACCGACGAGGGGCTTCCGTCCAGAGGATTTAAGGCAACGTTATGAGACGGGTCTGACGAATCGGCGAACGTATCACGGTTAACACGTTGACACGGTAAGTGTTAAAAATCAAAGGATTCAAAAGGTTCGTTTCTTTCGTATTCGTTTTAGCATCACGCTTGTATTGATTTTTATTTGATCGATCATCGGAACGCGCGCAGCTCCGCTTTACTTTACGCATCGAGCTACCTCGATCTTCGTTCACGTGGACGGATTCGCAGTGACACTTTGCTGGGTCCAACGTGCTTTCCGTTCCACGTCGATTGAACGCGAGAAACAATGCGATAAATATTAATGTAGAAAGTTTATGATAGTGGCAAGGACGAAAAAAAATATCGGTCAATCCGAATCGTTTATCGGAACCAGGACGTGATCAGGAATCGGTACGATCGTACACAAGGTAACCTGACCGTGGAGGCAGGAGAAAGCTGGGTTTCCGACTTTGGCCCGTAGTAAACGGGGCGATATACATAGAAGATCATTTGGCATGCTCCGCTGCTTCACCGCATCCTTATTCCTCTTTTTTTCCCCTCTCTTTTCTTTCTTCGTTCTGATGTTCCATTCCCGGTGATCTCATCCACGCGTCGTTACCCGCACACGTTGTACCTCTTTAAAATCCCATTTCTCGGGATTAAACAACCGAGTCAAATTATATTTTGAACGGATGCTCCAACTCTCTCACGGTTGCTTTTATTATATTCTTAAAACTTCGAAGAATCGTTATCGAACCGTTTCTTCGATTTCTTCCAATTTCCACGATTCCTGAATATCGATCGTTTCTCTATCAATCTTCGAATTGTGTCGCGAAGAATTAATCAATAGATTTCGAAAGAGGAGAGGAATGGTTCGATCGTCAAAACTCGTTCGAGATAACTCCGTTCATCTCTTATCCGTCCCGATTTATTTCCCTGTCGATCGAACGTGATCTCGCGCGCGTGAAACTTTGAAAGAGATGCGAACAAGAGAGAATAAGATTCCTCGCATTGACCCCGACATCGGCGTCTGACACATAGCTTCGAGTAGTATAAGCGCGCAGCTGCGTGTGCGTACCTAAGTTAGGTATGCCACAGCACCAGGTAGTGGTAAGTTGGTAACGGTTGTCAGCGCGCAGACGGCCTCGTGTCACTCTTTCCAATCTTAGCCGTTGATTTGTACGTTTAACGCTCTTCCTCGTCGCTCCTCCTTCCAAACGGAGCAACCGAATCCGGGAGAACGGATAATCAAAAATGTTTCGCGATTGATAAACGTTGCACGCCGCATCGAATAATAATGATACGTTCCTCGATGTTACGCGTGCGTTGCAACGTTGAACACAGAAATCTAAATTGCACGGATAACGCATAAAATAACAGAGCAAAAGCGTAGACTCGTGACAAGTTGCGTGTAATGTAATTTAACGCGCTTATTATTTTCCCCTTAATTATTACTTTATCAAGGAAGTACGACTTCATAATGATCGGCTTCTGTCAGCGTGACTAACGTGGATTAGCCAGGTTAACGCGTTTGTTCTCGTTGCTCTTGCCGCCCTACATTCGGCCGTCCACTTTTCGGACCCTCTTAAAATGCACAAGGCGCACTGTCCCTTTCGAACTTGTTCCAAGCAAACACCTTTATTTCGGCACGCACAATGCGAAGAAAGTGGTCATGGAATAATTTCTTTCCACTCCAATTTACACAGTCGTCGTCGTTCACCGATTCCTATTCTTCCAATAGGAATATCAGTCGAATGTTCATATTATTTTCGACACGAAACGTAATAATTCATCGCTTTCGCTTTCAACAATTCGTAGCGAGATAGGCGTACAACGATCGCTCGAGTCGTTCGAGTCGAACCGGTGCTGCGGAGGCGGTGATCGGTTTTGCACGAACGATCAAAGTGATGTGACTCAGTGAAAGCGCATCTCGTATCCTTTCAAAATATCCCTCGTTCGTCCGTTTTGAATTGCTGTTTATACTTTTCTCTCCCTCGAGGAATGAAACTTATCATCGATCATCCGTGTATCGCACCGATTTTATTATAATTTAACAAAACCATTCGTACCGATCTTTGATTAAAATGCAAACAGATTTCCGTAAACGATGAAATAAATATGACAATGGACTGCTAATTGCTTCCGTAATACAAAGGCTATCCAGTTGTGCTCGACGATCGATCGGAAAGGACGAAACGATCGTAGCTAGGATTCGAAGGAAAGAAGAGGGCGACGACGACGGGAACGACGAAGACGATGACGATGACGAGGAAATTTCTCGGTTGGTCGACGAGGGCAAGCCAATCGGGTCACCCAGATCCAATAATGAAGAAGAGTCGAAGCGAGCTTTCTCCAAAGTTTACGTGTGCGCGCAGAATCCTATGCATACCTGTAGTCACGCACTCGTGTGTTCGGCAGGAGACTTCTTCCTCGCATACTGACGAACGGCCAATGAACGGCCAAGAATTTTCGAGGTACTCGGAGTCAACTCTTTTATCCCGCGCGAGCTACGAGGAGATCGTGATCTTGGCGCGCATACAGGGTGTACCTCCTCTTCTCGTCCCATACGCGTCCAACCAAGCTTCCTCGCGAGATGATCGATTTGAGAAATATTAACACGTGCAATATCGTACCCGGATGTGCGGTATTGAAATTTGTATACGACTGTTCTTTGCATTGCATGAAAGTTTGTCGAGCAGGTTTGAAGCGCCGTTTCAAGCGCGTTTAAAGGAAATGCATGATTTTCCATTGAAGTAACGGTGACCTGTCCTTTTGCAGGATGCACACGTGTATCTGTGTGTGCGTATATACACGCGTGTGCGTAAAATTTTACGCGAAATCGAGCTTCGAACTATAATTTATCGCAACAGTCGTTTCATTCATCCGTGTTATAAAATTCGTCTCGCCTTTTAATTTCTTCTCGCCGCATATGCAAAAATTATATTGGACGATTGGTCACGTGAAATTATCTATGACACGCAAGTAACAAGTAAAAGTCTCGTTAAATCTATTCCCGCGTCTCTTTAGTCGAGATTCTTTTTTTTTTCTTTCTTTCTTCTTTCTTTTTTTTAACCAACCGATTGTTAACCAATTCTGTTAACTACACTTCGTAGAAATGAAAAGATCGTTAACGATAATTGCCCTCATCTCCTTCTCTGTTTTTGTAGCGATCGAAATTGCTTGAAACCGAAGCCCGGAAGAAACGGAACGATTCGAAGGAAAGTGACTTCCGCGTATTTACACGCGTGCACAGCTCGCGACGAACGAAAGGGAATTATTGTCAAGCGTTATCAGCGTTGAAATCCTGCTCGGTGTACGAAGACACCGTGAAATTATTCCCGGTATCTCATAATCATCGTGTAATCGATTTTGCCAAGTCGAAACGATACTTTCTCCGTGAGATCATGGTATCGGAACGTTGCACCCGGTGCAGGGTTCACACGGACCTAATACCAGATAATGTCCTGAATACCAGAAAAGGATGAACTTTCTACATAGTTTTGCATGACGTTTGTGATTACCGGCCGATAGAAAACGAATTTCCAATGAATTGTCGCGGTTCCCGCATATATCTATATATATCTATATACATACATATAAGCGTTGCGTGCGTGTAATGACATTCCGGGACAGAGAAAAAAAGAAGTCAATGGATAACACGAGGAATTGATAATTTCTAGTACCGGTATCTTCCTCCACTCTTGAATTTCTGTTCCTCCCGTATTCTGTTGCCACACTATTCGTCGAAGAAGAAGAGGCGCAGTATATTCAAAAAAAAAAAAAAAGAAAAAATACTGTTAAACACTTCAACTCCAACTCGGTTTGCTTGGAAAATCTTTGGAAAAACAAACGAAACGAAGGAAAGAAACGTATGTTAACAATGTAATTCCTTACACATAGGAGGAAATAGCACCGTGTTGGAACGTTTGTTTGATCGCATCGATTGATTTTGCGCGAATCGACGCATTGGATCGTTTAAATTACGCACAGGATCGAATTTAATAAGAAGGTCAGAGGAAGGAGGAAGAGAATAGGACAGTGAGGGGGAACTCACTGTTTGGTAACTAGGTTACCGGTGGCTCGGTGAAGCAACGTTCGAGCAATCGGTTCGTTCGCTCTCCTCGTCTTTCTCACGGCCTCCTTTCCTTCTCTTTCCTTCGCGTCGAGCCAAGATGAACGCAAGAGCCCGCCGTCTCTTCCTCCTTGTTTTCTCTTCGCTCTTCTTCATCATCATCGCCGTTCCCCGCTTCTCTGTTTAGCATTACGCAGCCGTGATACGCGAGAGAGAACGCCTCTGAACCGACTGACTGTATAACGGGATTTCGGGACACGAAGGGATACCGTGCGCGCTCACCTTCGAGACACGCACGCGAGCGTGTAAATCTCGGAAAGTATCGTGAGATGAGGAAAACCGAGAGAGCGGAGCGATGATATATATAAAACCTTGAACCTTGATTCATTTCTTCGAATCTCGATGCTATCTTGGCTTTATTACTTGTTCCAGAATCCGCTCGTCCAATTGTCTCGTTGGGAAATAAGAAAATGATCTCGTTCCTCTTATTATCTTGTTGCTTCGAGTACGATAATACGATACATACGATGCATACATGTACTTGAAAAAAATAACGCGGTTCGCGGTTATTAAATAGCGGTTCAAAAATTGTTTATCGTTTTTTATCTTTAATTAAGATTAAATCGGACGGGGAAAGGTGAGTTGCGAATTAAAATATAGGGTATAAATTCGTTTATAATGCGTAGCTTTTGAGACGCACGCACGATACTAATTTCTTGTACCGTTACAAAAGACTGTTATATGTGTAATGCAAGTTGATTTAAAGTAACGATTAATACATCACGCATCTCTGATGCTCTTTACTTATATTAGAAATATTATGCCGTTTATAAAATCGTTTAGATCGTTCCTCTAATTGCCGAATAAATCGTTTGATAATTTTCACACGTCTTTTTGTTACAGATGACTGTCGGGAAGAGTATCCATTTATTACTCGTCATCCTTTCTTCTATGTCCGTCGTTTCACGCTCTTACGTGCCCGAAGCCACAGGTAACAATTACGTTATGTAACGAGAAACTAGGCGTAAATCAATCGACCAACGAATTCCGACATACGAAGATAGATCGTGATCCTCCAATCCTCGACCGAATTGTTAACCACCACTTAAATAAATTTAAGCATAATTAAATATAATGAATTCTCTTATATATATATCTTCGCTGAATTCCAAGAATTTCCAATTCTTTTCTTCTTTTTCTTCTAATCAAAAGAACGACGCGATAAATTTCAATCTATTAGAAAAGTTGGCAGGAAATTTTCCAGAACTAGTTTTCCCTATTACGCGATCCCGCGTAAAACGTTTATTTTCCCGTGTTGCGCCACGTATCTCCTATTGTGGAGCGAAGGAAATGTCGGAGGTCAATGAAAAAGTTTCAATCGCGTGGAATCCCATAATCTGTTATCCACGACTCGGTTCACCGCATGGTTACACGCGTTCGTTTTAACCGATAACACGGTGCCTCACGCGTCAATTGTCTTTTACACCAGTAATTGCATGTGTCAACCCGATAAAACAAACGCACTTCTTCCCACGCGTCTTTCCTCTAACCCAAGTTATTCATGGAATTTTTTTTAATCGCATCCATTATCAATTATACCACGAGTTTAGTAGTTTAGTTTCGAATATCATCCGTGTGTATATATATATATGTATATACCCTTATAGACGTAGGTTCGTGACTTTTTACCAATCGCGCACGTACCAACATTGACACCAAATTCCACTTACATACTCACTTCCTTTTCGAAAGTCGTGAATTCCACGAGACGCGTATTTATAGTATAGTGTGCGTATCTCATTCTAGATGCACGTTGTTCCCAATAAACGACAGAAATTTCGAGCATAGCTATAAAGTATCACGCTATATTGTTACCCGTCATTTAAATATTCAAGAATATTTAAAATAAAAGCACGATGGTGGCTTCGTCGTGTATCGATAACGATAGCGATACGCGCTATTGCTATCTCAAGCAATAGCCAAGATTACAAGAGTGGAAACAGGTTTAACGAAGGGGAGAAAAAAATTTCGATCGATTTCCTCGACGAAGAAATGTTTCTGAATCGTTATCGATCGATACCGACATTTATTTCACGCAAGATCCTTATCACTTTCTCATTTCCATTTTCTCGTCCAAGTATCACGCAATCGTCTTTATTCTACTTAAATGGTACATTACCTCGATTATGACGCTGGTTGTTTAAGATAACCAAGGTAGTAATTGATATTACGATCTGATTCGATCTGTTAAGCTATTAATTAAAATTTCTATTAATTAAAATTTCTAATTACGCGTGCTAGAATAAGCAACGCGATAAAAATAATAATTATTGTGCAATTAGAACAATAAAATTTCGAAAAACATTTAATTATATTTTACAAAAGATATTAGTTTCGTGTAATAGCGGATTATTTAATCGATTGAACTTAATTAATCGCAAATTATTCTCGGAAAAAATAACCACGTATATGATATAACATTTCAATATTTCGAATAAATCAAGATGGATCTAACGATCTAACTAATCCGATGATTGGAAGATAAATTTGAAAAAAATATTGGCATTCGAATCGCTTGTGACATAGTTCGACACGAAACGAAAGTCCGTGAAAAATAAAATAAAAAAAAAAAAAAATAAAAAAAATAAAAAAATCTGGAACGCCGGAAGAATCCTGACAAGCTCTACGGACGATTCACGGAGTAGGTCATTATATTGGCGGTATGCAGGCATATAAGGAGGCACGTGCAAAGCCTACATGCTTGCTCGCCTATGGCTTAGTCACCTGAGCATAACCGATCACACTAAATACTGACTTTTACAAATATAAAGGCATAAAGAGACGTTTAAAACTGTAATTCTATCCGTCTGAATCGAAAACTTTCCTATCGACGAATTTCCATTAAAGTAGAACGTATTTCGTGTTTAACGAATTAACCTAAAGAAAAAGAAGAAGAAGAAGAAGAAGAAAAAAGAACAAAATTAACTTGCGACAAACGTATTCAAATTCATGCCCCATAAAATTCTTCCCCCAAAAATTGGAGCACGATTTTAAACAAGTTGTTCCCCGATTTGCATGCCTTCAACAATTCCGATTAAATTCCGAATACGAAACGAGTCGAGTTAGTTTCGTTTTCAACTCGTTTATCGTGAACCGTTGTAGACTCGGCGACTAATTGCAGCGGCACGCCGCGATTCGAATAATAAAATCTCGTCCTGTTTTTTCGCGAACCGCTATCGCGCGAGGCGGAAAATCGAAAATAGAACTTCGACATTAACGATTATTAATTATCGTTTGCAACAGGTAGGAGATTATTCGGCGGATATAGAATAGTGCCGAAAGCGTGTCAACCGACGATACCATCCCGGGTTAAGTCAAACGAGCCAGCTATATGCATGTTCAATTATGAATGCTCGCGACGAAATGGACAAGTGGTCGGCGCTTGTATGGACGGTTTCCTTTTTGGCGCGTGCTGCCAATTGCCGTTGAAAACATTGACCGGCACCAACGTCGAAAACGTCCCGAGCACCGATCAAATATTCAACGTACACGAAATCGATCACGTGCCGGATATTCCCATCTTGTTAAATCCAGACGGGACGCCGCTCGGGATGACGGTGTCCCAGGACAATACCGTCAAGATGGATATTCATCACGCGTCCACCCAGATGGACAAAAACCAAGGAATCACGTACACTAAAATTTCAACGTTCGACGCCCCCTCTTCGACCACCATCAAGTCGATATCCGGGATCGGGCAGATCCAAGACAGCGTTGAGAACGCGGAGAAACCACAATTACCCGCGCAACCAGACGTAACCCATCTGGAAGAGGATTTTCCGGCTCTGCTGGGTCAGCAGAACATCTTGGACGATCTGGGTCTCCCGGGATTGTTGACTCATTCGAATAATAACATACAGAATCATCAGAGCAATCCTATCATTAATCCGGTTACCACTTTGCTAAGCCCGGATCAGATACTTCAGATAGCCGATCCGGTTGACCAACTTCCGGCCCTGTTCTCCCAAGGATTGGGCCAGAACAATCACACCTCGCCCGACACGATATTATTAAACGAGAATGGGACGATGTTAAACGAGACCAACAATCCCGATGATTTGTTCAAACCTAACGTCGAGTCGACCTCCGTCGAGGAGAAGAGAGTGACAGAAACTTTGAGCACCACTCAGAGGCCGAGAGTGACCGAAAGCGTGTCGTATACGGAAATCAAGAGGCCTTTCCACGACCACACCACTCATCGGATCAGCACGTCGACGACACAGTGGATTAAATTCTCCGATCAATCTTCGTCCTCCACGCACGACGCCACGGAAGATCAAACGTTCGGCACGTCGTCGATGACGAAATTGCCGATCACCCAATTGTACGCCAACACGCAAAGGCTCACGACCGCTTCCCTCCCTCAGGAGACGGCGATCGATAACTTCGAAAAGATTAGCACGTTGAAAGAAAGGGTATCGACCAAGGACGTGGAGGCTGATGAACCGATCGATAAAATAACGACCACGCCGATGACTACTGTTCTAAGCGACAAGAAGAACGAATTGATCAGAGTCCCGACCATCACTTACGACGCACCCTCTGGAAATAAAAAGGACGATATGATAGACAAGGAGGAAATAGCGATTAATCACATAATATCGATCTTGAACGACACGAAACCGGGCACGGGAACAACGATTCAAACACCGAATTCGTCCATTAATAAATGGGTCAGCATCGACGAAACTTCGAAACCGTCGTTGGTTCGAATCTCCACTAAACCTCCTTTTCTTTCTCAACCGACCACCGCTGAATCGTTCCCTTACACCTTCTATAAACCTGGACAATCGTCTAATTATTACAGCTACGAAACGATCCCCACGGATACGACTCACGCTTCGTATTCGACCTCGAACGCGCATTCCTCGAGACCGTCGACCCAATCAATTTTCACCAGCGTCCCGACTTCCGATTATTCCACGACGAAAGTGACCACGACGAATCCGCCTGCACCGACAGTCATTGTCCTAGGCCCTCTGGGCACGGAATTCACCACGGAGACGACTCAGAAAACGGTGACGAGGAAGCCGTCGGTGGCGGAAAGTGGCGGATCCACCGCGATCTTCAAGCCTACGATCGAATCGACGAGGCCGAGCCCGCTCACCACGAAAAAGCCGAGCGTTTCCACCACCATAACTCACAACATCAGCACAGTTATCTCGAACGTCGCTACAAACAACGTGGTCTCGACCAGTTTCTTCAGCGTGAACGTGAAAGACGGCGCTACTTCTGAGCCAATGGTGGACAGTGGTAGCTATAACACGAAATCCACAACCTCCCAGACCGAGATAAATTCGGAGAGGTTGTCGACGAGAAGACCCACGATTTGGACCACCTTCTCCACGTGGTCCGACAAACCGAGTTTCCATCTGAAACCATCCACTCCTTCGAACATAGTTTTCACCGAGGAGAACATAGGAGAGCATGTTGACACGATAATATTCAAAGATCCCGTCGTTTCAACCGAGACGTATCCAATCAAATCAACCACCGCTCCGCCACATTGCGACGAAGAGACAGCTGCGCCCGACGACCTGATCAATTTCCCTCCAGTTCGAAATCCGAATCTCAATATTTCGACTCCGATTTCGCAACAGGAAAAACCAACCATCGTCGAAACCTTCAACAACACGGGTTACCCAGACATCGAGATATTAAGCGAAAACGATATTCCAACGCCAACCTTCATCGAGGACGACGTGCTCACGAACAAAGTGGACACGTTCGTGAACAAGATCATGCAATCGTTGCAAGACAACTTCCAGGTAACCACTTACTCCCATCAATTTTCCCTTTAAACGGTCGAGACTATGATAATTTTGCTTTAGGATCTGAAGGATATCGTGTACAATCGCGCCAACGCTACGTCGAGTCCACCACCTACAAAGAGGCCTGCCATTTCCACCACGAGGAAACCGTTGCGAAAGCCAACTACGACGATCAAACCTTCGTACATCACGACGAAGAAACCGGCGACCACGAAGAGGCCGTCGATCAATCGTCCCACAACTTCGAAACCTTTCGTATCGTCTGAGAAACCAGTTCGCCCTTCGAAACCGACTACTCTGAAACCAAAGCCAAACACGGTGTCCAGCGCGACCACGAAGAAACCCCAGATTACAACGAAACGTCCGAGACCGACCAAGAGGCCTACTACAACGTTGGCAACGAGTACGGAAGAGACAATTATGGAGGAGGAGAGCAGTACTTCCGGCGCACTCGAAACTACCACGAGTCCCCAGATCTCTTCGTCCAACGATTTTCGTTCTCGTAAGTTCTTTATTGTCCTCTTCGTGATCGTTGTTCAAGTTCGATCGTTTCGTCGTGAATACCCTCTCATTGATCCAACATGGAATTTCACAGAATGCGGCGTAAGACCTTTAGTCAAATCTGGAAGGATCGTCGGTGGCAAAGCAGCGACATTCGGCGAATGGCCGTGGCAAGTTTTAGTTCGAGAGGCAACTTGGTTGGGTCTCTTTACCAAAAATAAATGCGGCGGTGTTCTTATTACAGACAAGTACGTCATCACTGCTGCTCACTGTCAACCAGGGTAGGTGAATCGATATTTTTCAATGCTTTTTTTTGAACACGTGAATAGTACATAAATGATAAATATCGTCGTCAGATTTTTGGCAACATTGGTCGCCGTTTTTGGAGAATTCGATTTATCCGGCGAATTGGAAGCAAAGCGAAGTATAACGAGGAACGTTCGTCGAGTAATCGTGAACAGGGGTTACAATCCAACTACGTTCGAGAGTGACTTGGCTCTTTTGGAACTGGAATCACCGATACAATTTGACGTTCATATCGTCCCAATTTGTATGCCCGATGATGGTATAGATTTCACTGGTAGAATGGCTACCGTGACCGGTTGGGGACGATTGAAATATAGTCGGTACCATTTTTGTTCATACCACGTATTTTGCTTCATTTTTAATTGACGTCTCTATAAGTAATATTAATTTTTGCAGACGGTGGTGTACCCTCTGTTCTACAAGAAGTTCAAGTGCCTATAATTAAGAACTCCGTATGTCAAGAAATGTTTCAGACAGCTGGACATTCTAAATTAATTCTCGACAGCTTCCTCTGTGCGGGTTATGCAAATGGACAAAAAGATTCTTGCGAGGTATTTTTCTTAACAACAATTTTCATTTTTTTTCTTTCTCTCGTGTTTGAGAGAATTATTCGTTATCTATTTTTGTTTAATTGTACAGGGTGACAGTGGTGGTCCATTAGTAATGCAACGACCAGACGGAAGATGGTTCTTAGTAGGCACGGTATCCCATGGAATAACATGTGCTGCACCTTATCTTCCAGGTGTATACATGAGGACGACTTACTTCAAACCTTGGCTACAAAGTATCACTGGGGTCTGAAAGACAGAAAATAGTGTATTTCCTGGACAAGGTGACAGGCACTGATGATTACGTGCCACTTGTATAAATGTACAAAGGAAGAATTAATTTATTTCCTTCGGAATAGATTGAAGAATATCGTCCAATTGATTAAAAGGACATAAATACGAACATGAATACGTTTCGTGAATACTATTTCCAATTTTAGATAATTTTTCTTTGCGTCGTCTGATTTCGTTCTTCTTTTTTTCTTTTTTTAACAAGTAAATACTTGTTAGAATAAATTATTTTCTTGTATCTCGATTGTTTTAAATTTTGAGATAATATTACGATACTTATAACAAGTGTTTCGAGATATTTTATTAACGGTATACGAAAATTCACCACCGTGTATTTATGTGCATTCAATATTGAACGTATTGCGTGTTCCATGTATTGTATATACGTGAGTACGTATTACACGTACTATATGTATACAGTTACGAAATGTGAGCCTTATTTATTTCGTTGTTAGATGTTATTTATTAAACTCATTTTTATACGAGATAATAACCATTTCTTTTTATCCTTATCACACGCCGATAAAAAGTACACATTTACCTGAAAAAAAGAATAAGAATTAGAAAAAGAATAAGAATAAGAGTATATAAAAATATGAAATAAAAGTCACAGATTAAAATTAACGAGAAAACTCATTTTTAACAACCTTCGAACGAACTTGTAATGATTAGCGACTTATTCGAGTTAATATAAAGTCGCAAAAGTTTAATTGTGGAAATTTCTTGGAAATTCAGAATTTTATACGTTGCATTATACGTTGCACGCAACAATCAAGATTTAATGTATGTAATATTTCTATTTGGCGAAAATATTTAAACGAACACTTTATAATTAATCCGAACATGCGCGAATGATTAAACTACCGATAATTTAAACCTGATAAAGAGTAAAAATAAAAATGATTAAACAAGAACGATTATTATTGTATCACGTATATCTAATTTCTCCAATTTTTATAAATCTTGATTTTAGATGTTCTCTATAAATATAAAAAGGATGCAAAACACATAGACCTTGTTGTTACATATTATAAATAGTTGTTACACATGCAATGTAAATTACATACTTGGCATTTTCACAGACAAGTGGTCGTGTATTGGTACATTTAGATAAATCTTTAAAAATACTTGAAGTACTTGAATCGTGATCTGCAAACATAAAAAAGATTTATGTAAAATCAAAATTTTTTTAGGGAAAGGTATTTTCTCGGAAGAGGAATTTCTTATTCGTTTTTTTTTTTTTTTTCTTTGCCTTGCCGTTCAATTATAAAACGAGAGGAAATTTTCTTTATCGAAAAAAGAAAAAAAGAAAAAGAAAAAAAAAGAAAACGAAGTAAGTAAAAAAAGAACGCGAGTAAAAATAAAATGACCCTATATTATATTGTTTTACTCAAGTTAAGTGCATCCTCTTTATTATTACATATATATATATATATATATATATATATATAAGTATTCACGAGCCAGCTAGGAAACGAATATATAGAGCAGGATCGACCGCCCTGTGGAACATCAGGACATCCCGGATCAATACGACCAACAGAGATGAAAACAATGACATTCAGGTTGAATGACGAAGAAAGAGCTAAACACCCACGTGAAAGTGTGCTCAACGAATGGCGCTGCTGTATCCTGAAACGAGATATAATTTTCACGGAAATTTTTATTTTTTTTTTAAACAAATAATTATGAAATACTTTATAAAATACATTATAATTCTACGTTAAAATCTTCCACATTAAATCTTTTCTTTCAAGATGAATTTATAAAAATATTTTTACATATCATATTTTCCCCCAAGGATATTTGCAAATACAATACGCACGATTGTTAATTAAATTGAAATTGCATTTACGAGGCAAACAAAATTTCCAGGAAAATTTCCAGGGTAAACACGCAGAATAGTTCTGCCATTGATTTCGCGTTTACGTTCTCATAATTCACTAAAGAATAAACTTGCAAAGATTTGTATTGAAAATTTATATTGTAAAAAAAAAATTTATCCATTTCATCTTTAACGAGAGAAATAAATCTATAAATAACTAAAATACGAGCTTAAAATCTGAATGAATAAAATGGTACCTAGGTCATGTGCGTAAAAAAAGTCAAGGGATGCGCTTGCGCGGATGTTTGCACAAGCCTGTACAAGGGAAACCGGAACAACGTAGAAGTATAGATTGCTAATGCAAGCACGGCTCAGACTCAGTCCTCCAGCAAGCTTCATTGAGGACTTGTTGATCCCGAGAAGAGACAAGAGTTGATCTTTCCAAGTCGACTTACAAAGAAATACTAGCAAGTGAAGAAATTCGTAAGTTTAAGAATTTTTTAAATTTACAAAACCGACAAAGGAATATTTGCCTGTTCTTTTTGTAAAATTGTTTCAACTTACGAACAAAAATGTTTGAAAACTGTCATGAAAATATCATTTCCATTATTTTTTATCATTGTTAATAATTTTTGTCAACGTCAGTTTAATTTCTGTAAACAAAAAAAAAGAAGGGAAAATTATTTAATTTCAAAATGGAAATGTAAAATATTTATCGTTGAAAAATTTTTATGTGATGCTACACGTTTGATTTGAAATATCTTTACTTGAAAATTACTTGAATTTCAGAGGTTTCAAGAGCGATATACTTACATGGGACAAAAAATGTACACGTGTGTTGCATTGACCGTCGTTGCTCTAGTAAGCACGATGCACTTTGGTGTCGAGGCATGGGGTGGTCTATTTAATCGTTTCAGCCCAGAAATGTTATCGAATCTTGGCTACGGTAGTCACGGTGATCATATAGGCAAATCAGGATTGTATCAGGTATGAACAAAATTTTTTATCAACCAACCAAGTTTTCTCCAATGTCGAGATATCTTCACACATCAAATAAAACTGTTTTGCAACTTTGCCGCAGTATTGCCGGTGTACGATCGATATATTATTTTCATAGAATTGTGCGCTTTTCACGTACGCATTTATTTAAATAACGATAGAATATCAGGGGAAATATCATTAAATTTTCATTGAAATCAATTATTAATCCTTGTTTTAAATTGGAAAAATTGTTTCAAATATCTCATTTCTAATGTACAAATCAAAAAGATATATATGCTATCCATTATTTCTTCTATTTTCTATTTCACATAATAATAATAATAATAATAATAATAATAATAAAATATCATGCGTTTCATTTCAAGCGTCCATTATCTACCAGTTATGGGTATTCGTATGACTCTCTAGAAGAAGTTATACCATGCTATGAAAGAAAATGTACGCTTAACGAGCACTGTTGTCCGGGTTCTATTTGCATGAATGTCGATGGAGGTAACTATCATTCTTCGTTCTTTCCCCATTGTTAAATGATTTTTAAAAGACGCAAACTTGAAATTCCTCTTCTTGAATTATAGATGTTGGTCATTGCGTTTTTGAATTGGGGCAGAAGCAGGGAGAACTTTGCAGGAATGATAACGATTGCGAAACTGGTTTAATGTGCGCCGAAATTGCCGGTAGCGAAACTCGTTCGTGTCAGGTGCCAATAACTTCCAACAAATTATATAGTAAGTAAATATAAATCTATGGCAAGTGACGTCATCGATGTATTAACCGATCAGAAAATATCCTTTACGCGAGAAAAATTCAAAGATGATCGATAAAATAACTACGTCAAATGAATCGTTTCTTACGTAAGAACTATACGTTGTATTCCATTTCTAATTATATAGAATATCCTATTTTTAATTAATTACACAGATGAGGAGTGTAACGTGTCCGGGGAATGCGATATCAGTCGCGGTTTATGCTGTCAGCTTCAGAGACGTCATCGACAAACGCCAAGAAAGGTAATTTTATTTAAAGATAAAAACATGAGATATTTTTACGCAGAAGGATTATCATCCCTACGAATCTTCTTTCTTCTCACTAGGTTTGCTCGTATTTCAAAGATCCTCTGGTTTGCATCGGACCAGTTGCAACGGACCAAATAAAATCGATCGTTCAGTATACTTCTGGCGAAAAACGGATTACTGGACAGGGAAATCGTATCTTTAAACGTTCCCTTAAGGCTCCCTTCGCCTAAAAGCTATATTGTTCCTCATGAACTGGTGAGAATGAAAGGCGTGTCTAGATAAATCGAATCCCTCTTGTCATTACACTGAAAAAAAAAAAAAAAAACGAGAAAAAACTTAAGATGTAAGTCTGTTATTTCGAAATTTCCTAAATTGTTTCGATGTTCGTAAGTCTGTCAAGAGTGGAGAAATCACAAACGCGCTTTTTGATTGTTTTCTTCCAAATATTACGACTGAAAAAAATACGATACATATCAGAATAGTCCGTCTTAATAAGATTATAAGGTATTATTAAATATTAATGAAAAGAATTATACAGCGTGTTTTCAAAAATTGAATTTAATAATCGATGAATAATGCGTAATGGATGTATGATAGAAGAGAAGAAGTTTCCTCTTTTACTATTCTTACTTTTTTCCCACTCGTCTGGTTAAACATAGAAATTAAAATTTTACGAAATAGATAGGAATTGAATAGCTGGGATCTAAATGATAATAGTGATAGAAATGTTAGAAAAATTGTACTTTACTATTAATTGTAAAATCATAATTCTAGAAATTGATTTTAGTAAAATTTTGTTGAGAGTTCTTTGAAAAAAAAAAAAA